AGAGAAAACACAATTTTGTTGGTGTGTTTTGCATTTTTCAAGAGCAAAAATGTTCCTTTGGCCAATGTGTCAAACGAAGATAGTTGATGTTCAATTCTTATAATTTGAAAATAAAATAAAATAAAAAAAAAACACGAAGAAGAAATTTAAAATAAGTAGAACGAAAGTTCATGTGATTCCTCTAGCAATTTTATTAGTTGAATTTAGCAATTAACATTTTGACGTTTCGCTCAGCTGAGTTTCGAGCGCGTATATATACGTTTTTTTCATTCTCAACGTCTTTTATAGCTACACACAAACACATAAAACGTCATCAAACTGTGTAAGAAGGGATCGTCATTTCCTGCCCCACAATAACAACAATAACAATTCGTTAAAACGTATTTCAACATTGCATGACTACATTATTTCTTTTTTGTGTTTTTAAATTCTCATTGTGTCCGACTATACCATCGAAAGTGACACTGTTAAGTGTTGGACACAACATTTCTCTCTATATCGCTTTCAAAATAAGCCGTTTTTACTCACATTTGATCGTTCTTAATGCAATGATCGTGTTAAGTTCGAGTGCTTCCAATTTCCAAAACATTTTTTTCTCTATCAACATGCATAGAATGCGTATAGATAGATTTACTAAACGAATAACTAAGTAAACTGCCGAACATTTTCAGCAATTTTCGAATATTTTCGAACAAATTCTCAATACAATGAATTAATGTTAATATTTTCTTCGAATTCATAATAATTGGCACGAAAAATTCTCCGAATGTTTTACATCATCCGAATTTTTAATCAATGGAAATTCACTTTTCTCATCGATTGAAAACAAAAATTTAATGACAAATTCGAAAAAAAATACCAAATGAATTATTTTTGTGTATTGAACGATACAATATATTGTGTATTATAGATGAAATTGAACGGATTTAAAATCGTATATCAACAAATGATACACATGTAAATGCGCACAACCAATGGTCGTGATTGTGGGCGGTGATCTTCGTATTTCCTCTCAAATGAATATAAAAAAAATATAAAACACACACCGAGCCACTCAACAACACAAACGGGCAAACGCCGCGAGAAGCACAAACTCACGGGCAAAATCAAATGTAAAGAAGAAGAAGAAAAAAATCATGCAACCATATACATGGTGTACGGGATCCATACACGTTTATGTATGAGCGCTATGTGTGCTCGTATTCTCGCTCACTTTTAATACGCTTGCTATTTAACAGGTTTTGACTGCGATTTTTTTTTCATTTTGCTTTTGTCTTTAGTTTTAGATTTTCGCATTGACTTCAAATTTAATATATACACATGTAATTTTGGTTGCCTTGTTTTGCCGTGTTTTTTTTTTCGCTTATTCATCAAAAATCGAATACGTAACAAAAACTACACACACTCCACTATGTCAGTATTTCGGTTGAATTTTGTGCGAACGAGTGCTTATTAGAGATCAGCAGTAGTGCATGAATATACAGATTTACGAATACATAGCACATTTTGATCTCGTAAATAAGATGCAATGAACCGAAACCGAAAAAGCGAGATAAGAAATGAACATATTGAAAAAAATAACGAAAATTGTACTACATTACTCAGCGTAATATTGTGCTTGGATTATTCATTCGTAATTGTGGCTACAGTTTGCATCACATCGATAGAGACAGCAAGATAAAATAATATTGTTTGTTATTATTGCGATTAAATGGCTCACGATATTCAATTTTCGCAAAATTGATTCGAATTAAAATCATAGATTTTCAGGGCATGTCAGCAAATGACCACTCTGATGTTTCAAGTAAAATGGTTTTGATTTTCTCTGTCTGGATCAACCTATTTTCGAATGGAAATATATCATTCACTAATAGAACGTGATTTCTATTGGTCGTCCATGATGGTTAAATTTCAAAATTATCAATACACGAGCATAATTAAAATGTGTGTCTTGGTCGAAAAAGCGAAACAGACGAAAAAGAAGTAAACGGCTACAATACAGAGCTCTGTCCAATCACACTGTATCTTGTTTACGCACCGTTTCACATGGACCATTCGTGTTTGGATATGGATGTGTGTGCGTGTCCAGTTTCATATAATTTATCTGTGATGCGTATGTGGAGAGATCATCAAAAGTTATCGGTTGGCATCAGTGTAAATCGTATATAGGTGTGTACGGTGAATCAAGATCGGTGAAAGATTAAGAGGGGGAGATATAAGTATACGCGTGAGTGCACGTTTAGATCTCTCTTTCTCTATATCTCTGTATGTGTCTTTCTTTTCTTCGTGTAAAAACGCTGAGGTACAGTTCCACTGACCATTGCGCGCGCATCAAAATGAAGTATATTGGGAAACGACAACTTAAAGAGAATATGAACAAATCGAACGAAGAATTGACTTCAACACTTGAAGAAATAATACGAGATGTGTGCGCTCGCTCATCTTTAATGCATCATTTCCAATCATTATGATGTCCATTTAACGATATGCTATGATTCCTTTTCGCATTTAATTTGTTTGTCGTTGCCGTGTGAATATATGTAATACATTTTGTACAAACCGCGTTTTTTTTTGTTTTTCAAATTTCTAATGGATCGACTGAAATGAGACAAACACAAAATGACGTCAATGACTTCGACAATCATGTTTGATGAGATGCGTGTATGGTTCATATTAATTTCAATGTTGCTTCGAACGCACCTTAATGAGCAGTAATGTAGTTATCGTGTTTTAGTAATTTTCTTCTCGCGCTTTTCTTTCATTATTTTTTTTTTATATAGAAGGGAATAAGCAACGACGACGACGAAGATGACAACAGCAAGAACTATAAAGCAGGTCGATGTGGACAATTCGTATTGGACAGCGCAAAATGATGATGATGGGATGGACGGTGAGCCAATGAAAATAAAGATTTAAAAAAAGTCTCTTTTTTTGTTCAATTCGCGCGTATCGTAACCAATGTGAAATAAAGAGAAAATAAAAAAATATCCACACAAAAAACAACGAATGAATAAATTTCGTTTTAATGTGCACAGATGAGCACATTTTAGACGTGGGATTTGGTTTCATTTTACGCTGTGTCTCAATTTGTTTTCGCTTTTGGTCCGGTTTCTCTTTTTTTTTTTTGGTTTCATAAAATGGATTTCTTCTCGTTATTATCGAGGCTAATGTTAATTAACACATTTACATTGGACTCCCTTTTTAAAAAAAAAAATCTTTATTGGTATAATTTGCTTGGGCTATTTTAAGACATTTTCAAATGCTACTTGAGCGAATAGCAAATCGAAGAGAGAGAGAGAGAAATATGAAGATGTTGTGAATGATCGACCTCAATTTCACCTCATGTCCAAGCATTATTATGCAAATTGGACGCTTCGTAATTGAGTGTTCAATTTGTAATCATATCTGAATATCATCACAGTGCTATGATCCGCTTCGGCTTAATACATAGTCAATAACTTTAGATTTTATTCGATTAAAAAAAAAATGTTTCGTTTCCATCGAACAACAATTGAAATAAAAAGTATCAGTCATTGAGTTAGTGTCTTGTTTACTTATTTATTTTTTGTTATTTCCAAAGAAATTCGTGTTGTTTATTTGAAATGTTAGAATATGTTCAATTTTCCGGCGATGTGATTTATTTGTCCAAGATATGCCATGTAGAAAGATTTTCTTGTAATTTCGTAATTGGTGGCCGATCGATAACGTTTTCGAGATATTCTTGTCACTCACAGGTGAATGATCACAATAGTTAGATTTTTTTTACTTTGTAATCAATATAACGCGACTGATAAAAAGCGCTGTTGATAATATAACGCACCACAATATCAGTCATCATCGTCACAGACACCAGACGAATTTTTATGTTCATCATATCAGTTCATGTTCATGTGATGTAATGTGATGTGTTATCGTACGTTAAGTACTTTACTCATTCAGAAAAAAAAAAACCAACAACATTGAACGTATGAACACATTTTGACGTCTTTCCGCATCTCTATCTGTTTTCATTCTTCACACACTGCACTGATCCAACTTTTGGCCGCTTGACGCAACCAATTATATAACTTGAGATAAGAAATTTCTACTGAAATTTAGACCACCGAAGAGGAAGAGGTAGAGACACATATAGAGAGAGAAATAGTAACAGTGTGCAAACAAAGTGTATTGAGTCATTTGATTATTTATCTATCTTTCTTTACTTTTATAGATCACTTAGTTTCTGAAATGCGTGATAATTTACGAGTGTAGTGCGCACATTTAATTTAAGGCGTAAGGATGCGTGTATAAATTTCCGAATGCAGCATTTTTCTTAACGATAGACAATTTGGCGAGATACAAAATACAGTGCAAACATGCGTCAGCATCAATCATATAATATGATTAAATGTAAACGGTCGATTTAAGCGAGTATCAAACCATCATTTTTTTCATTTTTTTTTTGTGATTTTAAAGCGAGTCTCCATATTCAGTATTAGTTCCCAATGTTTCAGTATAAAATTCATTCCATACAAATACCATGGAGACAACTCTGGGTCTATGTGCGATGATGATCATATTTTTTCGTTTTATTTTCCTACCTTCACCCGTCTAGTACGAAACAAACTCATTCATAAGTTTACAATGCAAACAAATAAATAAACAAAAATATACATTTTTTCTTAATTTGCGTCTTAAACTGATAACATTTCTCTAAAAATAGCTGTTCTATTTGAGCCTCTTGATAGGTAGAATTCGGTTTGCAACACACACGAGCGCACACTCATCGAGTACCAATTTCGAATATGACTAAAGTACTGTTTGTTTATTGTTTTACTTGATACAAGAGAAGCAGAAACAAGAACAAAAAATGAACGGTGTGCTCAAATATTGCCGAATAAATTTTGACGGGAAATTTTGGAACGCAATATGGCTTTCGAATAATTCAAATTTCATTTAAAACAGATGACAAGAGAGAGAACAAAAGAATTTAAAAAAAAAAACACATTAAATAGACTTACCTAGCATTTTACTCAAGTCAGCATTGTGTAAGTCAGGATTTTCGTCGGCCAATTTTTTTCGCTCGACTTTGGCCCACACCATAAACGCATTCATTGGACGACGAATACGTGCTTCTTTTGCACTTTTCAATGCATTTGCCGCACTCATTTTTCCACTGGACGAACCACCACCACTACTGCCTGTATTACTTTGATACGCTTGTCTTGGCAACATTCCTATAACATAGATACGAAAAATTGAATATTCATTTGTTTTCGATTGCAGCTCATTTACATTCATTACAATCGTAGCTAATGGATGAACAAATTGATTAATTTTGATACAAACATTGAACAAATCTAATTTTTGATATTATTTCTTATATTTGACAGTCGGTTTAACCTCAGAATTTCGCAATTATAACTTGATACATGACTTTGCAATTTTAAATATCCAAAAATACTTGAAATATGATCACATTTGGAATAAAATTGAACTAATTTTGTTTTATTATCCTCCATTCGACTTAATTAGATCCCAATTCTGGGTTTAAAATTGTTTTTCAATAACGTATCGAATGAACTTGTAAATAATTTTTTCTTTGTACTTTTCGATTCGATGATTTCATTGTTATCTTTTTTTGCAATTTTGTAATTAAACTGATTAAAATGAAATTTAAAATGTCTCGAATCCAAAATGGGAATTGTACATTTTTCTTTAATAGCTTAACGTCACAATATCTAACTCACAATTTTTTTTCCATAATATTACAATAGTTATTTTTTAAATTGTCACTTGAATTTTCTAAATTTCTGTAATTTCAAAAAGTAATTAGTATCCAATACTTCTGGTTAAAAAACCTTTAATAGTTATTTTGAATTTCTGAATTATTTTTAAATCCAGTGGCAATTTGGTCAGCAGCAATGAAATGTTTCTGATTTAATCAAATTCGTTAATAAAAATAATATCGTCTGTACTGTATACATACCATAATTACTACAAAATTCGCTAGAAAATGCTGAGTTCATTGGATATCCCCACGAAACGGAATCGTCGACCTGATTACTGTTTGCGTTTGGCCCGAGTGGTGGGAGTATTGTGGTTGGTAGGACATCCGAATACGGTGAATATTGCATTAGGGGTGAATTATTTGACATCATCGGTGAATTGGATGTCATTAATGGTGATGATGATAACATTGAGCTCTGCGATGCCCCAGCAACCATTGGACTATGTGGCGGATTCATTAACATTGGATACATTTGATGATGTGGCGAACTGTAAAATTTTCGCGGAAAAATAGTTGGATTTTTTTATCAACATTTTAAATTTTAGCACTAACTATATAAGATTTGGTCTATTTTTGTTTTTAAATTCCGTTTAATCATCAAAGAGATAAAAGATGGAAAAATTAGAATGAGAAAGGCCCATTAAATGGAAAAAAAAATCGTGTTACGACCCACAAACGTCAGACTGGCAACAACAGAAATAAAAAGAGCAACAGAGGCACGAAATGAGTTTGATAAAAATTCACACACACACACACACATACGGTAGTTGATATATAAGTAATAACTGCATAAACATAACAAATCTGACGGGTTGAAAATGAGAAAATAAACATTGTACTTGGAACGTACAGTTTCTTCTTCTTTTTCTCTTTCTCGCGGTGTGTTTTTTTCATTCTGGGGATCTGTACAATAGTTGTTCCACACAACGAAAAAGGGCACACTCGGAATTAAGCCGAGCGATTGAGTGAGCGAGTGCGAGAGAAAGACGTGAAGAGACAAAACGACAGCAGAAAAGTAAATATGAAAAAACGGAACGTCTGACGTATATGCGTTGACTTTATCATAATAAAGGAGAGAGAGACAGAAAAAAAATATCTCATTGCGCTTATCACATTGAAATACAAGCCGTTTATCTGATATGAACCACATTTTCACAGACTAACTACTTCTGCGTTTTTTAAGCTATAAAATTAAGTTGGCTCGAGTTTTTTTGTTTTTGTTGTCTTCTTCACGTGAAAGACTGCGATAAAAACCCGTTTATCATATTATTATCACGTTTGAGAGCAATGAAACGCGCTCTTTTTTCGGAAGAACATCGGTATATAAATATTTCATCTTGTCAGGTCACGCTTTTTCGATTGACGAAATAATTCTGGTTTTTTTTTTTGTTGGTTCGGTTGTTGTCGTGTATCTTTTTCATTTCACATATGATGATGACAAACACGTGCTTAAAATTATTCCAAGACTTTCTTCTTTTTATCTCGCTCGCTCTTAGTTGTATTTTTTTTCGCACTCAGCCGCAAACTCATTCCTTTTGAATTTTCTCATGATAAGAGCCCAGTAGCTACTTGTTCTTATTTATTTTCATCTGGAATTCTTTTTATTTTATTCATCTTTGGAAATGTAGCTATTTGTACTGTTATTAAAACAAAGACCAGTTTTATTTTATTGTCACGTACATGAAGATCTAAAGATCTTTTGCATTCGCAATGGACTAGACCACACTTTCAAACTTTCCTCTAATCGCTAGAAATGAAAACATATTTTGGATTTTTTTAGCTTCTTGTTTTCGGCAAATAAAGACATGTTTATGCTTTCGGCATCTTTGCCGGACTTCAGACGAATGAACCAAGTTATTATTTGACAATATTCAGTTTTGTTTAATTCTCTGAGATTTTTTTCTCGGTTGAATTTCAACTTTAGCCATTTTACATTTATTTTCGTCGTTTATGAAATTTCTTGAACTATTTACTCTGGCGAAATAATGTTGTTCTTCGAAATAAATTCTTTTCACTTAAAAAATACTCTTTAGTGAAATGATTTCCCATGATAGCTCTCTCTAGTCATCGTCAGCAAATTTCGAGTACGCTTCAAAGTTCGTTGAGTACAAAAGGTTAAAGGCATGCATTCGAGAGAGGGAGAGATAAAGAGAGAAAAAACATGAACAAACATTGTTTTTTGCACATCTTTAGTCAAAAATAAAAATCATAAATATTTGACCATGATCCCCGTTCGATTTGTGTACGCAGCAGTGAGTTTATGCGGGCCGTTCATCGTATATTTTGTTACATACACAGAAGCGTGTTAAGCTAATACCGTGTATGAGATAAGAATAATTCCGTGGTTATTACACGTGATTCATAAACAAAGGAGCCGAACATACACCACACAAAGAAATCTTTTCAAACAGAATAGTATAAATGACAAACCGAAGTAAAAAATCTATGCTAAACCTCAAGATTTTTTGGTCTTTTTTATTATAACTAGAAATAATTGGCGACATTGGATTGCAACTTAGAAAATACACAAAATAAAAATTAACAGATCACGTTTTTACGTTGCCAATGCAATCGAAACTGTTTGAAGTATGCGGAAAGGTCATAAATAGAGAGAGATAAAATGTGACAAGTAGCGCTTCAATTGGAATCCATGCAAAACAAATCGCACTTGTCAAAACATTTTAAAAGACTATCATTTTTAACAGTCTCTATACACATAAAAAAAAACGATAGATAAACGGAAAAACTTGGCTACTGCAAATTGAACAAGTCAAATTAAACATTCTACTGTGTAGACTTACTCCCACAAATAATAATATCAATAAAATCATTTGACGAAAAACGAAAAAGAACGTCACAAAATTTAAAGTGTGCAGGAAAACCGAATGCACATGTATAGAACATTGACAATTAGCAACGAACGACAATTCAACCGACAAAACTCAAAAAACAAGAATGGTTCGGCATGTACGCATGCATCTGTAGATAAAATAGATTCGACACAAGAAAACTACGTCTGAATCGGCAAAGAGAGACATACATACGGCAAAAATTCTTTGCACTACACAGCATTGTCGCGCGCTGTGAACTCACAGGGTTTTTGTTTACCGTAATAAATATTGTGGTAGTCATTTGAATATTATGTAGTTTGACAGCTGAATAATTTTTTTCTCTCTCATTCTTTCTTTTTCATTCTACCTCTTGACTGGTTAGTCTCTCACTCTCTCTCTATCCGATCTTGTTCTATTGCTATCTTTCTACCTCTTTCTTTGATTTTTACGCTTTAAAACATGGCACAGAGTCGGGATTTGGTTTTTCGTTTCGGTAAGCTTGTTTTGCTTGATACCGATATTGTCATTGTTTACTTAAATCGATTTCCATATGAAAAGAATGCCGCAATTCGCAATCGGTCGATGGTTGAAATGAGACACACACACACACATGGAGCATTTAAAGAAAAGAACACATTAAAAACAAATGTTATTGGCAATCAATGACAAGAGAAAGCAAACTGCACACAACTTGGCTGCCATAAGAAAAAGAATGAAATAAAATGCGAAGCAAAAAAAAAACAGACACACACCAACGACAGCAACAACAAAAACGCGCAAAAATAGTCAGTGATCGAAGAGTGGCTGGCTAGTCGTGTGCGCATTTTGTGATTTTGTGGCAGCACATAGAAGCATTGGCTTCAAACACAAAACGAACGAATGAACGACATTACAAGCAAATGAATTGCCAATCGATTGGCGAATATGTAAAACAAACGCAGAAAAATACACAATCAAATTGAAATGAAATAAAAATGGGCAAAAATGGCAATAACTTCACAACTTCTTATTCGAAACAGCAAAAGCAGTAGAGAAAAAAAATGGCAAAAAACCATGCGGCCCGATTTTTTTTCATCTCTGGCTTTTCTCGATAATGTACAGCGTAAAATTCAACGGATCTAGGCGGTGTATGCAATCGGCCAGCAGAGTAAATTCTCTCTCTCTCTTCTCTCTTTTGCTCGGCGTTTGTAATCGGCGATAATACATGCCACGATTTACTATGCAAACAAATACAAATTATAGTTGAGACTAATACGATATGAGCGTGCGCGCGCCTGTCTGCGCATTTGCAATCATAATGTGAGTGAAAAAGAGATAGATTCCATGCATTTTTCGTAATATGATTTCAAAATGAAATGAAAGAGAATATGCGCGCTTCCACTTCTGTTCGCACAGTTAAACAACCAAACGAAACAGATAAAGAATCATAAAGGTGCATTCGTAAGAGAGAAACAAAATCGAAAAATAAAATACTACGAAGCGAATTGTTTTTTTTTCCCGTCTTGTACGCATGAATAATCTAGAAATTTGAATCTCACACTCGACCCTTCCATTCCTGTGTCGAAGGAATATTTTGACTTACGTTACGTCTCCTAATCTTTGGCTCTCATTCGGTGCGCGTTTTTTTCTCTCTGTTTCATTCGATTTGTGTTTCTGCTTTACATTACTGTGAAACAATATTTCGCATCGTCTATGTGCATATTTCCATGCCGTTTGCTGCTGCCTTTGACCGCGCACGATCGTTTGTTATCCGAAAAATTCACATCAAAAGCCAACTGCCCATATGCCGATCTTGCTGTGTGCTTCGGTCAACATAAATTATCGTTAATTTTTTTTTTGCTTGTTTATTGCATAACCCACAGCCCAAACATGCCACAAACAAACCGATCCGCACAAAATCCGCACCGCATCAGTGAAAAGAGCAAAACAGACGATTAACCAGAAAAGAACATAGACATGACAATTGCTCTACCAATGTTTTACCAACAACATATAAGCAACCATAATCACACTCTTTCTCACTTGGTTAGCCGCGGTAACATGCCGCACATTTAATCCTCAAAATGATAAAGAAATTGATCTCGTTGGCTGTTTGCACGGCGAGCACATTCCCATCCAAATTGTTGATAACGGCTACAATCAACATAATGAATTGGTCGGCCGACTCAGCTCAGTTTGAAGGCCCGTGCAAATCAATTTCTTAAGATTCTCATATTCTTACACAATAATAAAATGAGGGGAAAAAAGGAAAGAGAAAATAATTAACGACATTTATCGCAGACTTACTGATCGTGACGTATATATCACATTGTCTATAAATTGTTAATTGCTCTCTTCTGAATTGATAAGCAAAATCAACGGCGAAAAATTAGCAAATGTAATGCAAATCATGAAATACATTATCACCTCTCATCGACTGAAAGACACACCGATAAACTAAACTGAATTTGAGTGGATTTTACGTCTACAGTAGCACCGGAAATGTCACATCAATATACTGATCCGATATCGAAATATGCATTAACAATGAAAAATCTAAGGTGAATAGAAAGAATTATGGCAGAGAATACCAGTAAACATATGACACAATGAACATGACATTTATACAAATAAAAAAAAATGATTGCAAAATAAAGACGGACGATTATAGTCAAGTT